TGAATAATTTTAAGAAACTGATTCTGTTGATTGATATCTATTATATTGTAGATTGTAGTGTAAATTTTTTTAAATTGAACTCAAGATGAATACACGATGCGTGTTTTGCTCGGTACATTGTGTGGGTGACTTTTGCTTGCGATGCAATGAAATGAATCGCAGCCAAAAATTTGCAAGGTTGCCTCAACTTTTGGAAAAAGCTTCTGAAAGTGCAATGTATTATGATGAAATTGTTTCTACAGTAAAGCGGATTCAAAAAGTAAGTTCTTTCGAATTATAATTAGATTATTACGAATGTATTATAGATTGAACCAGTCATGTTATCAATTCAATTCAATCCTAATCAAATGTTCGATGAGAGAAAATATTTGGTAGATGCAGTGGCTAAAACATATCTTAGAAAGGCCATATATGATGTACAACATCTTATTCCCGTAAAAGTCGTTGGCGATGGAAATTGTTTATATAATTCAATCCTTCTTCTAATGAACAATTCAATGATAACAACAAGTGAATTACGAGGTATATATATTTATGTTCTATCTATATTTTCCTTCAATTTGTTTTTTTGTTTTGAACCAATTTTAGTTCGAACAGTTATTGAACTTGTAGCAAACGGAGCGTATTATACCAGAATGTATTCACAATTCATCGGACCTCTAGATATCGCCATCAAAGCTGTATGCAAAAATTATACATATTCTGAATTGTACGAAATAGCTGCACTATGCAATGTACTTCGATGTAATATACGAAGTATTTATCCAAGAATTGATTTTCGAGAAGATATGGAAATTCTAAATAACATCTTCAGACCTACTTCACCTATTATTGCCAATTGTAGTATCACGATTTTCTGGTCTCATGTCTTAAACGAGATAGATGTACGAACGCAAAATAATATGGGATGGAATCCCAATCACTTTGTTCCTCTTATGTCCCCACCTGCATTTGATGACTCGGATAATATAAGTCATCAATCAGTGTCAAAAATTGTGGTAAGTTATCGAACTCAAAATATGAAACTGAGAATTTTAAAATTTATTTGTTTAGACTCCTGAAAAAAGAACTTCCAAGAATAATGCTTCCATTCAGATACGAATTCCTGAATTTCAATCTTCACCCAGTCGACGTCGACGCAGTGAACACAGCAACGAAACTGGTTTCGCTCAATCAACTGCCACGGATGCAATACGAGAAGCACAGAATGGCATCCATGAACAACGCCAAAGTGCCATGGAACAACAAATAAAACCAGGTCAAGAGAATCTAGCGAACGAAACAATGGAACATCGTCGAATCCAACTGGAAAAGCAAAAGCAGTGAAATCAAAGGAATAGATCAAATGAAACAACCGAAGAGCGTCAAACTCGACTGGAAAAGCAAAAACAACGGGATCAATCGAACCGGTCAAATGAAACAGTTGAAGAGCGTCAAACTCGATTTGAAAAGCAGAAACAGAGGAATCAATCGATCAGGTCAAATGAAACAGCTGAAGAGCTGCAAACTCAATTGGGAAAGCAAAAACAGCGAGACGAATCAAATAGATCAAATGAAACAGCTGAAGAACGTCAAATTCGTTTGAAAAAAGTAAAAGAACTGGCTCAATCTGGTCGTATGAATGAAACAGAAGAGCAACGCCAGATTCGATTAGAAAAGCAAAGAAAGCGAAGTCAAGCAAATAGAGCTAAAAAAACTAGTTGAAAAATCGACATCTAATAAACTAAATACACAACAACAAAACTCTTCTAATCAGTTGAACGCAACTGAACCCAGTGCACTATCGGACACTCAAGGTATGCGTGATTTCACAAACAACGAATATATCACAAAGAGCAAGAAAACTTCTATTTCTTCGGTTTGGCCTGAATCCATCTTCCATAACCTTAAGGAGGACTGTTTGCAGAAATTTCTTCAAAAAATGTCCATGTCAGCATTGTCTAAAGCTACTTGTGTTGTTTGTAACGTCCGTACTCAAACGCAAAAAGTTGAAGAAATTACCAGTCTCAAAAATTCCTTACATTGATTTGCTTAAAGTTCCTGATGCGCTCAAAGATTTCATCAGAACCAGTCAAACATCCGAAGTACGTACAATATGCTGACGAATATATTGGAATCTCCGAGAATGATAGCGTTATACAAATGACGAGACTCACTCAAAGTAGCCTATGATTGTAATAAATTAGGAATTCGTTTTAAAAAATATAGCTATTTTAGATACTTCAGCTTGTAATTCATCATATGTTCAATATGACAACGGTATTGTCTTATATGTGAATGATTTGTTCCACCAAAATACAGTAAAGATGTGTACAATTGGCCAAAAATGTCACGACTCTCTATCAAAAGGAAACATTCCTAAGTTTTCACCTGCTAATAATATGTGGTTAGGCGGCATACCTCCTGAATTACAAGGACTAACAATTCCAGAAGTAAAGCTAATTTCACTTTATCGTCATAATAGCTGTGTGATAAAACGTTATTCACTATTTCACTCAACTACAACTGCTCAAGCAACATTGAAAGGCAATTGTATTACTTTTCTTCAAAGTTTACCGAATATCGTTAGCAGTTTACCACTGAAACTTGTTGATTTGTGTGATACATTAAAAGTGATTTTTGTTGGTGCACATCCTCCTGAACGTGTCCATCTCAAGAAGATCTTAACAGTCCGTAAGAAAAAAGTCACTCAAGCATTACATTGGCTGAAAAAAAAATAACATACTTTATCAAAATTTCAAGATAAATCTTCATAACATTAATCAATTACCTGAAGATGACGTACCAGAATCCATCATGTTAACGATGGAAAAGAAGATCACTGATGAAAAAATTCCCTCTGAAAGAGTCGAATATGTTCCTGATCCATTAGCTGATCCGATGGAATCTACAAATTCAGAAACCATCCCTATTAGCAATGGGTAAGATCTACGAGCGAATAAGTCATTTTTAAAGTCCTTTTTCTCTCTAGTGGTGTTCTCGACGTGAATGGATTCACTATATCCTCAGACGAAATTAAAAATTATGTTTTACGCAAAATTAAAAATGATAAAGCAACCGAACAGATGAATATCGAAAGTATTTACGTAATTCCTCATTCATCGAAACCTGTTAATGAATATTTTAATCCAAAATTACTACTAGGGCTGTATCCAACTCTATTCTGTTATGGATATGGATCACCGGAAGATAAATCGCGTCCAGTTGAAATAAAATTACGAGAACACATACGTTACCTATTATCATACAACGACCGACGCTTTGAAACAAATCATAGTTTTATATTTGTANAAACTATTAAAGTGATCATATACTATTCGAAAGTTTCGTGAGTTTAACACTAAACGTTTTTTTGGTAATGCAATCAATCATAAATGGCTCTGCTTGAAAATTTCAAAACCATCAGGCGGTCTTCAAAAATATGGATAGCACCGTTAAAAGTTTACATAACCTTTAGATAATCTACGAACACATAAATCGTTCCGCACGAAACATACCAAATCTTTTTCAATATTCCTTGATTTTATGAATACTTTCGTATGAAATTCACGAAACCTTCGAGTGGCATGTGGTCGTATTAATAGTGTCGTGAGGAATGTACAAAATCAACAAACGTTTCGTAGGAAACTCACGAAACTGTTACATAACCTCCTGAACTGTACATGGTTTCGTAGAAAGTTTGCGAAACCTAATCGTTTCGTATGAAGTTTACGAAACTTTTACATAATCCACTAAACCATGAATAGTTTTAGCAAATGTTTGCGAAATGTTGAAAGTTTAGTACAAAGTCCACGAAACCTCTAAGGATTCTTCGGAAACCTTAGAAAGTTTCGTTGAAAAACTTCGAAACCCTGTTAAATATATTGAACCTAAAAAGGTTTTGTAAAATAACTACGAAACGATTTTTCTCCCACCGAACTTAAAATCGTTCGGTAGAAAAATGCGAAACTTTTAAAGTTCGGTGGTAAACCTTTTTTTTTAGAGTATAGGAGTGTGCGTTACTCCCTCAAGATTATCACGCGATGATATATATGCAGCTTTAAAAACCATCGATCTTTCAGGATTGGAGCAAGATACATGTAATTTCGGCAATATTCAATCAACATCGATGAAGGAACAATCTTCTTCATCGATTAGTTTTGCTACACCATCGCCGAAGAGGTATTCAGAAACAACGTTGTATGCTCAGCCGAATTATGGTATGTATAGAGTGACCATAAAAACAAGCAATGCATATATTTATTTATTTTTAGCAACGAATGCTTCGCGTAATGAATCAAAAATAATTCCTGCTTGCTTACCTACTCCAAATCCATCGATCACCTATTTTGGCATCAAGATTTCGTGCAGATATAGTACAGCTTGTCGAATCGAATAATATTCACAAACACAGTGATACGTGCTATAAATATTGGAATGCTAATCGAGGCGATAAAAAAACATGCCGAATGCATATGCCGCGTAAATTAGTATCCAACTCAACAATTGATCCTGCTGCTGGAAATATTTGTATGCGACGATCCGATCCTTAGATCAATAATTTTAATGAATACCTCATCGCAGCTTGCCGCTCAAATATGGACATCAAATTTATTTGGAATGGTAGCGATGCAAAGGCTCTTGTTTATTATATTACTGATTATGTGACAAAAACGAATCTCTCGTTTCATGATACATTTTCCTTGATACAAAAAAGCATCACATCAGTCCAGAATTTATGGAATCAAACTAATAACGAAAGTGCAATCGAGAAGTCTCGTAAACTCGTTCTGCGCTGTTACAATATGCTTGCTTCTCAACAAGAATTATCTGGCGTTCAAGTAGCTTCTTATCTTATGAATTGGAATGATCATTATACAACCCATAGATTTCAAGGTCCCTTTTTAATTCAAACTGAACGATTTTTACAAACAGAGTTCAATGAAATGCGTGCTCAACAAAAATTGGAAATTGCAGCAAAGGGTGAGTATATTAATCTCTGATTTGATGTTTGAAAAGTATGTATCCTTGATCAAGCTAGACCGAAAAAGTTCCTGTGTGAAAACATCAAGCATAAAAGAATAATTATATTTAGTCACTGGTTATCAAAAATACGTAAAATATTTCATAAGAGAAATCCCTCTAAATTGAATCCCTCACTGCTTTTTTCGATGAGAACCTTACAGATAGCCCACTTCATTCCTTTTTCTGTGACACGCCGTTGACATGCTGTTTATTCTCAAGTAGAATTCAAGGGCTAGTATAAAGAGAAAAGTATCTCAGCTCAAACATACGAAAAGAAATCTTCCAAACATTAGGTTAAATATTTGCGTGAAAAAAGCAAACGCAAAGATCGACTAAATTACAGTATTATAAATTTATTTATAACTGACTTTTTTTTCATATTTAGATGTGCTCGACAATGATATATATGATGATGAAACTATTGATAATGATAACAACGACGAAGAACACTTTCAAATTCAATCAGCTGAATACGACAAAAAATATGTACTCGTTAACACACGAATTGATTATCAATATCGTTCCGATAATCTCAACAGAATGTGCTTATATGACTTTGTTGGCATATTCTATAAGAAAAAAATGAATTCTAGAGATCTGAAATATTTATTCAAGATAGCTGGATCAATAGAAGAAAAAATTAACCAAAAAGGTCGACCACCTAATGAACGATTTCTTTTTCAAAAACAGCATCCTCAGGCTACAACATATTTAATGATGAAGTACAGTGAATCTCATGTGCCTGTTCTCTATGGTCCTCATATGCCTCGACGAGATCGTGATGATACTCGAGAACGATATTGTCGGGCTATTCTCACACTTTTCGTACCCTGGCATACTGTGACTGATCTTTGTGGCATCAGCCAGACGTGGGAAGATGCATTTAAATTTCGACAACATCTTATTTTGAGACATTTGTGGACGATAATAGAAAACATTCAACTTTTGCATGAATGCAAAAAGGACCGCGATGATCATTTACTTCAAGTTATCGCCGAAGCACAAGCCGACAATGATTCAATCGATCCTGTACTAATCAGAGATGAGCACAGGACAGGACGGTCCTGGTGTCCTGGTGTCCTGTCCTGTCCTGTCCTGTAGGACAGGACGCCATTTTGATTTTTGTCCTGTCCTGCCGCCCGCCAGGACAGAAATTACGAACAGGACAAAACAGGACAGGGCATGATTTTGATTTTTGTCCTGTCCTGCCGCCCGCCAGGACAAAGATAGCGATTAGAACAGGACGGAACAGGACAGAAAATTTCTCGTGTGAACTTTCTTGTTCTATTGTTATTCATATTTTATTAAACGACTATCATTTTCGACGAGTCACTTTTTAACACTCGAGATATGTTGTGAGTGATAGATATCGCGATTAGAATGAATCATAACACGAATTCAAATATTCGTTGAAAACAAGCTACCAATTAGATGTAAGCATCGATGATTCAGAAATTTTCAGTCACAGTACAAAGAGAAAGCAACAAGAAACAAGTGTTCTTTGTTCTTGTCACCTTTAATTGTTTTTGTTTTACTTTGTATTTTATTTGTTTAGATTTATTGAATATCAAAATAAATATTCAACATGAGCAGTAGAGAAATCTCATCGTCGTCGAACACAATTAATTCCTCAAAAATTAAACAATTACTTAAATACGAATCAAATAAATATAGTGTTATAAAAAAAGAATCGTCAACACCATTAATAGGTTGGTGGGAAGTCTTTGGTTATCCAGCAAAATTAGATGAACATGGTGTATTTCAAAGAATCTCGGGATATGTTAGTTGCTTCAATTGTTATAGTACATTTATTTATGGTAATAGTAGTGGAACAACACGTTTAAGGCAACATGCAGCGAAATGTTCCAAAACAACATGTTCTTCTTCAATATCAGTTGAATGCAACGATTCATCATCATCACGACAAGCAACTTTAGCCCAACACGGATTCAAAAAATGTGTTAAAATAAATGAAAAAGATATAGATAATATTAAAAAATTATCTGCACAATGGATATGCCAAGATATTCGTCCTTTTTGTACGTTACAAGATGTTGGTTTTCGTGCCTTAGCACAAGAGCTAATTAATATCGGTATGTTTATTCTTCTTTTCAATTGTCAAAAACTTAATTAATTTTTTTTCTCAGGACATAAATATGGTGTTGTTGACATCGATGAAATTCTTAGAAGTCGATTTACAATTGCACGAACCATCTCTGATTTAGCTGAATCATACAGACAGCGTATCAAGCAAATACTTATTGAGCCATTGAAAGCACGTGCTGTTACTATTTGTCCTGACTTCTGGTCAGACTGCTATAAAAACATTTCGTATTTGGGATTGAATATTACATTCGTTGATGCAAATCATAAAATGTTTTCGATTGATTTATTTTGTCGACCATTTTATGGTAATAAGACAAGTGCTTCAGTTATTAAAGTAAGTCATCGTGAGTAATAAACAGATCGATATTCGAAGCTTCTTCTTCTAGTATTAAAAAATAATGAAATATTTTCATTTGGCACTTGATCTTTTATTGATCAAATGAGTCAAATATTCCCAATAACTATATATTCATGACTAGATGATAGTAGATTTAATTTTCAATAAAAATAATTGTAAAATGTGTCTCGAAAGTTTTGTTTTAAAAAGTCATAATGTAGATTTATTCATTTTATAACAATTTTTTTAATAATCACTTTCACTTAGGTTCTTCAAGAACATTTAATTGAATTTGGCATTGATAGTTTGGATTTAGTCAATATTGTATCAGATCGAGGCTCCAATTTCGTTGCTGCATTTCGTGATTTTAAACCGTTATTTTGTTTCGGACATCGTCTTAATAATATTGTAAAAACATCGTTCTTTGGAAATACCATCAAGAAAAAGAAATCAATATCAAGTGAACCAACAACAGTTAATAACAACTTTTCAATTAGTTACACAACAAAAAAAACAGAAATTGATAATTCATCAGTCGAGAATGACATTTCCACAAGTGAACAATCATCCGAAGATGAAGATGATTATGTATCAACATCTATTCCAGCAAAGCACAAGGGTCGAATAAATAATATTGGTTCATCGAATGGTGATATTAAATTAGCACGTAAAATGTCGATTAATGATATCCCGATTGAAGCACGTAGTGTTATAATAGCATTAAAACAATGTAAAAAAATAGTTAAATATATAAAGAAGGTAAATCTCATCAAATTGACATTTCCAATCCAAAAAAATTCTTTACTTCATTTAATTTTAGTGTGGTTTAAACAAAGACATTGAGAATGCTGGTGGTGGAACTGTTCATCAATCTATCACTATTCGTTGGATATCGGTGATTGAAAGTTTAGAATCTATTCTAAGATCGTTTAAAATAATCAAAAAAATTTTGATTATGAAGAAACAACACAAATTAATCAGTAGCATTAATGAAAAGATAATAAAACAAATTATTTTATTGTTGCAGCCTTTCAAACACGTTATTAAGATGGTCCAAACTGGCTGTTCTTCATCCTTGTATATGGTTTTGTTATCTATTCAGACATTAAGAGATGCAATGAGCTCATACAGAGCATTATTAGATTATAATCTTGCCGATGATGGTGAACGATCCAGAGAAGGATCACCAGTATTAGATGACGATTTGGTGGATGAATTGCAAGGTAAAGCAAATGAAGCGCCTTCTAGTATTATAGTATAAAATATATTATTGATGTTTAGGTATTAATTTTTTTTGGAACAGAATTCGTTGTTTATTGAATGAAATGTTTACACTGGATATTAGACATTATGCCGCAACGGCTCTTCATCCTAAATACCGATCATTAACTTTATGTTCGTCAAAAGAGCGTTCTGAATGTTACGAATATATTCGTAAACAATTGAAATTAATTAATACTGAATCAAATGAACTAAATCAACGACAAACTGATAAACCAGCACAGAAGAAATTCAAAAAGGACTTATTCAGTCGATTCGAATCAAATAATTTTGTTGGTGGTGAAGAAAGTGAAGGATCAGAAGAAGATATTGCAATCTCATCTCGTAGTACGAAAAGTGATGAACTTGATCGATATCTTAATTTTGAAATAGATCGATCAAAACTACAATCTGATCCTTTACCATTTTGGAAGGAACATCAAGACAAATTCCCCTGTTTGTCTCGATATGCACGATCAATTCATTCAATACCGGCTACATCAGCTAGTGTTGAGAGACAGTTCTCAGGGGCCGGCTTAATTATTAATGAACGACGAACCAACTTGAAACCGGAACAGCTCGATAATGTTTTATTAATTCGGTCAATGGAAAAAAACAAAATATTATTATAGGAGTATTGTTTTGTTTTTTGTGATAAAAGTCTGTGTTGTTGTTACTTTTCATAGATAGTGTCTAGTATAAATTAAGATAATCATGTTACAATCGATTGTGCTCATTTTTTTGTATTTTTTTTCTTGTCATAAATGTGCCATCAAGATATTAAATTAAGATGTTATTATATTTTGTTGTATTAATAAAATAAGTGATGATCAAGAGTGTTTTTATTGTATTTGAAAATGGTAAACGATAAATTAGGTCTAATATAAGTAACAGTAATATTTGCTTTCGACGACGATAGGCAGATTAAGGACTCTCGTGATCGACTCTCTGTCACTCGAAAAGAAATGGAATGAATTAGCAAAACAAACTAGGACAAAGTTGTCATGCATTATGCTATCATACGTTAGAACACAAAAAGTCAGCAGGACAAAACAGGACAGGACAAAAACAGGACAGGACGCGATTTTGATTTTTGTCCTGTCCTGCCGCCCGCCAGGACAGAGATTGCCAACAGGACAAAACAGGACAGGACGCGATTTTGATTTTTGTCCTGCCCTGCACCGCACCAGGACAGAGCTGGCTAGCAGGACAGGGCAGGACAGGACGAAAAATCTTGTCCTGTGCTCATCTCTGGTACTAATACCAGCAAATCAAGAATTCAGTGGTGAATATGGCACGGATGATAGCGATGATTTACTGGAATTATTAGGCAATTTGGATGAAAACACAGTTGCTATGTTCAATGCTACAAAAAACTCAACAGAAAACAAATATATTGAAGAAACAATCGAAGCAGTCAAGAATGTCGGACGATTCAACAGTGTAAACAGTAAGTATTATTTGAATGTGATCTGTAGGATCGACAGTAATCGTAAAACTTTTGTTGCAGCATATGAGCAATATTCTTTCAATGAATCCAACGATCGTATCGATCAATCATTGGTACCATTCATTTCTGCAACACATAATCTAGTTCGATTAAATACAAAGTGGCAAGAACAGCTAAAAACTGAGAAAGAACAGATTAGAAGAGATTTGATTACGGGAAACTATGTCAAAGGCGATGATGATATGTTGAACGTGGATGCTGCAATAAGTGGTGTTGCCACTGTAGTGACTCTAAACAATATTAATACGAAGATATGCGAAAACTATGAATCGATTCTTCCAGTAATATCAATCAAAGCAAACTCTTGTGCTCAGAAGAGTGTTGCCGATGAATTTACACTGAACAGAGAACAGCGGGCTGCATTTATGATCATAACAGGTCATCTTGATGGTGACAGCCGTTGTCGTACAGGTATAATCTTTATAAAAGAAGTTGTCACATATTGAAGTACATAATATTTTCAGGTGACAATAATGGTCAGCTTATAATGTGTATACCTGGGTGTGGTGACACAGGCAAATCACAATTGATTCGTGTCCTTACCAAATACTTTTTAGTTAGGGGTGTGGAATACAAGTAATGCGGAAGCTAGCACCTACTGGTATTGCTGCTGCTGAAATCGATGGTATGACCATCCACTCATTTTTGGGTGAGCAACGCAACTCAGGAAAAGCCCGTACGATTAAACCAGGCGATTTAAAACTTGAAAAAGAATGGGCCCTCGTTGAATACCTCTTAATTGATGAAATGAGTATGGTTGGTTTAACTCTACTTGCGAAACTCAACCGAATTATATGTGCTGCAAAACATACTGATCCTCAAGTTCCATTTGGTGGTGTAAATGTCATCTTCTTCGGCGATTATTTACAATATCGACCTGTATACGATGTACCCCTACATGCCAATTTCTCTTTGCCGATCAAAAGTAAATCAAACAAGATACCAACTGAAAAACAAATCCAGCAACGTGTTGCACGTTCTTTAATTCTTCAAATCAACTGTATGGTCAAACTCACTCAACAGATGAGAACAGAGGATCGACGTTACCTTCAGCTACTCGAACGGCTTCGTCATGGAGAATGTAACTACGATGACTATGAATTATTGTTAACACGAGTAGTGGGACAATCTTCTGTACCCTTGTTAAGTGATTCACCATGGAATAAAGTAAATTTGTTTTTCTAGCTTTAGACAATGTACCATCTTCATCTTTTTAGGCTCCGATTCTCGTATTTCGTAATGAAGTAAGGTGGGAATAATCCAAAATTAAAGCAAAATTTTTTTTTCTTTCTTTTATACACCATTAGATAGAGCTCGTCGAGCTGAGTAAGAATATATGTCTTTGAATTTTTTTTCGAAATGATTATGTGAAAAAATTTCCACTTTTTTCAATTCAGTTGCAAAATCGCATTTTTCTTAAAAATATGGATATCTTCTATGTTTTTTGAAATTTTAATAGAAATTTCGTTCTGTTGGAATTTTAAAAATGGTATATTCAGATTCCTCGTGAAGAGCTGCGTCTACTGAACCTATTTTTTATATCACTTTGCGAAAATTTATCCATGGAATTTCTTAAGAAATATCGACCAAAATATGCAAAAAATGACATCTTGTCAACATTTTCGAAAATCTATCTAGTTTTTTCTGTTAAAAGCTATAGCCCTGTTCTATATGCCATTAGAACCACCGAACATTGCGCTTCAAAAGTATAACTTTTGTTTTTCGAAATACTGATATTTTCAAAATGAACACTGTTCAACCCTGGCTCAAGACCCCAAAAACATAAGATTCTACTAGAAATTCGAGGTTCTCTACACCAAAAGTCAGTCATTTCGAGAAACAAATAATATATTCGGAATCAGCACAAAAAGCTGCACCGATTAAGATATATTTTAGGTTGTTTCCCTGAGTTTCATTTTTTCATGAAAATCTGGACCATCCGAGTAGGTCAAAATTTGTGGAAAAATCGAAATCTTCAGAATTTAAGGAAAGTTGTCTTAGTCGGTACAGTTTTTTGTGCTGATTCCGAATATATTATTTGTTTCTCGAAATTACTGACTTTTGGTGTAGAGAACCTCGAATTTCTAGTAGAATCTTATGTTTTTGGGGTCTTGAGCCAGGGTTGAACAGTGTTCATTTTGAAAATATCAGTATTTCGAAAAACAAAAGTTATACTTTTGAAGCGCAATGTTCGGTGGTTCTAATGGCATATAGAACAGGGCTATAGCTTTTAACAGAAAAAACTAGATAGANATAATCGAATAAGGAAAAAACTTGAAAACTTCAGGATAGTCTCTAGGCTATGATCCGCATATATGGTAAAATTTTCAGTGAGATCAGATTTCAAAAAGTTTTCTTCCAAAATCGACCTTTCGAAACTTTTAGACAGAGCTGAAACGAAAACCTTTGTCTCAGTATTATTCCAGGATCTTTTATCCTTAACACGAACTCTTGCAATAGATTTCGACCTTTTCAGTTCTTTAGCAGAGCATTTGAGCCGTAGTGAGGTCGTACTCAGTGACGTCGCTAACGCCAAATAAATTTTTTTGTTCTTTGAAAAACTTAGATATGGTCAAAATAATTTTATATCAGGATTCGGTAGCCTTAAGAGTCGTGCCTGGTATCGTTTATCAAGTTTTCGGTAATCATGCAACAATTGAGAATTTTTTAAAACCAAAGTATATCAAGTAACCATTAATGTCCTTTTTGCGTGTTACGTTGCTAGTGATGTTTTTTCTTTAATAACTCCTTTGTACGAAGCGCTAGAATGTTGGTTTTTTTTATTATGTCTAGATTAAATGAAGACTCTTAAAACATGTAAAAATCACACCTAAACTAGCTGATAATTTCAAGATATGCATACGGGAAATTTGCGATGTGACATCGATGACGAATGATCTAGTCCATATAGACTGCTTTGAATGTATATGATGTTACCTGTAATATTTTACTATAGATCTGTCATTTATTGTATTATGTACTATACTGTTCCGGTTTTATATCTGATTTCTTGACATACTTGTATCTATCGTCTTGCGATAGACTATTAGATTCGTGAGAGAATGATATTTCATAATATTTATTTTCCTGTCCTTTGTTTTTGTATTAACTATATTTTATTTGATACTATGAAAGATTTGCTGAATTGTAATGAGCAACAGAAGATTAGTGGTAAATGTTGTGGTTGTTCGTTCTCCATTGTGCTTAAGCTTTATCTCAACATTAATTTCGTGTATTATTCTGATATCAGCATTATCTGATAGAGAAATTGCAATCAGTAATCGGAACTCTCACGCCAGTATTGTCTCTGTTAATGAAATCATTATCAGACTAGTATACAATTGCTGATAGTATTACCAAAGACAAAGATGTAAACAATTATGCAAATGTGAAAAATTAGTATTTAGTTAGTATACGCTTATAGATGTTTTATTTGATGCATTTTTATCACCTGACAAACAGAATACATCCAGTGGTGAATCGAGAGTTTTTCTAATTTCTGTAAAAATTTATAAATATTCACCAAGACACTTTGCATTAATAAAGTCAATTTCATCGGAAGCATAAAATCATTCATTTCCATGACATAAACCATGTTCCACAAGTATTAATGAACTTTTAAGCCAATTAGACTTCTGACCTTATATAGTGAAAAAAGTAATTTTATGAAGGATATTCTACCGATTCAGATTATTCGAATAGCAAAGTTCAACGACAAGTTATTCATTGTTAAATTTGGAATAAAAAGTGATAAGATTCTAATATATCCATTCGCCCCAAAAAATTAATTTGAAATTTGTGATTGTACACAACCGATCTACATTTATCTAATACATACGATCAAATGCATTGATAGACAATTCATCAAATTTGAAGATCTGCATGATAAAGTCTACATTTAAAAAAACGAGCTTATCATTGAAATTTATGATTATGAACTATAAATAATGGAGAAGCGATACATAATATTAGTAAATTGTCAATACTGTTGAATTTTCTTTGATAAATAGAGACTAATGACGAAATGAACATCAAACAACGATTAATTTTGATGGAAAGCAAAATGACTATTGTGATGATCATGTAAGATGTAGAATAATGCAAAGATTGGTCGAAAGACATAATCATACTGTTACACGAAGCCCCTAGTTTATTCAAACAGAATACTCATGCAATATAATATGAAAGCTTTGAATGTTAAAAAAGAATAAAACTTGATTTATATTCAGTGATCCATATTGCTTTATGCTAATATATTTTAGAAGAAACTAAAGTTTATTTTAATCAAAATTATAGAATTATTTAATGTTTGATTTTTTAGTTCAACACATTGTGGTTGACAATAATCAATAAAATAAAAACAATTTTTACAAAAATTTTAGATTATTCGTTATATGACTGTTATTAATATGCTTTGATGTTTTATTTCTGCCATTAACTTGTAACAACAAATATACTTGATAAATATCAATTTATGGTTTGTTGTTTATCAATATAATAAGTGAATAAAACACTCATACTACACTTTTTTAATAGTTATACTTGCTTGATTTATAATACAAAGAATACCTAAATATATAAATTTTATATTAGCGTCCGGCGATTTCTTTATTAAAATAAATGGATGAAATACTAATCAGATATATATTTTTCTCACTTATTTGTGTAAGATGAAATTCTATGAAGAACAGAGCAAAACAGAAAATCAACAAATGATTATGAAACATTTTCAACATTTAAAACGGATTACAGACAATCAAATACATTTTTTTCATTATCTGTAGTTAATTTTTGTACTCTACATATAAACGTTTATTGTATCGAAAAATTTGTCTTTGTTCTAAAGTCATTTATTGAGATTAAAAAATAAATAAAAAAGAAGCATAATTTGAATATTCTAATCATAATTAAGCACATGAAAAATCTTCATTGCTCATACCACTTGAACATGAACCTGCATCCCATGTATATTTCACCTTGCTATCTTTAACAACTTTTCCACAGCCTGTAATTGTATAGGCTTGCATTAAAAGTTTACATGCCTGTTCACAATTCTTCATAGCAACATCTTCGCATCCACAAAGCTTGCATGATGAAATTTCCCATGACTGAAATGGGAAATGAATTTGGTTTGAAACAACTTTGCATTTACATCTATATCAAAGTACTTCAATTCTTTTCAATTTCTTCTACATTCAAAAATTTACTTTCACTTACTCTCGATTTATAAAATTACAATTGACGCTTATGAAGAGTGTAAGTACAACAGGAAGAAAAAGCTTCATCGTAGGTTTTGATTTGAAAAATGTATGTAAATCGTACTTTTACTCTTGCATTTATATACTATACGTTCTAGCTGATTCGTGGTTATTCGTTTTGTTTCCTCCTTTTATTGTATCATTAACGGTTAATATAATAATTTGTAGATATATGATTTGTATTAATGTCATAAAACTAAAAATCGATGATTAATAACAACCGATATTAAATGAAAACAAAAAAGAAAAGAGAAAATTTAAGATCGAAAACGTTAATATGAATCAGACATACACTCAAGCACAGTACCAAGGTCGATATGTAAGTATAAACCGTGGGTGATACAGGTAAAGTATTTTTTTTTCAATCCAGATATGCATTCTACGACAATTAAATCCAGATCGATACATGTAGAATAAGCAATGATACGCAAGATTATGTTACAAAATAAATCCAATATGTAATTGAAGGTGTGGGTGTGAGAATAGTAAGAATGACTCACACCCACACTCCATAAATAAATATGTTCGAGTCATGTTTGTTATAATAGATGAGGCATAATCAATGGCCACGTTTTATAATTTATACTTTCATCATTTAATACAGTACTCCAAAGAAATCTTTTGTTCCTTAGATCTTGGAACCCATTAAGTTCTTCGTTGCTGAAAGTCGTTTATTAGTATATTCTGATCGAAAAAACAAATCTAAGTTCAAATATTTTCGGATATCATGATTGAAAGTAAAAAAGAAATTTATTTTTATGCCGTGAATAACATCAAAATAAATTAGAAGAGGATTTTATTGTCACGAAATAGGCTTGTATCGAAATGTGAATATTTGTACGTCGAAAATGTGCTCATATAAAGGTCTTCTTATGTTGGCATTTTCAAGTTGTAAATTTTATACTATGACGGTAAATAGTCTTGACGTAAACGACATGGATTAATCAATAAGCAGGTCATCCAATTTTTTGAGCTACTTCAATATAATTTTTCGAAATTCGTCGGATGTAGACAGTAAAATCTAAGTATCATCTCACGTTGAAAGATTATCTTCTTGAGTAGTTTATATTTCCTAAATTGTCACATCATAGTTCTAAAAGATTCAGTTCATGAGTAAAACGAATATAGTTCCTTTACAACCTCATAAAACTGATTCATGTTCTGTATTCTTTAAATATTAGTAACTAGGTATACATTAATGCATAAAATTGTAAGGACTGGATTCTATAAGTCTCTGTGCGAAGGGTAGGTCAAATATCGACGAGACGACAAATTTATTTTCAAAAAATTTGAAGATGTTGGAACTTTAAGGGTCAGAACACACTAAGATATGTATTTCTCGAAAGGTTTAGTCTATTGGACTTCATAGCTGACAAGGTCCAGGAGACTGAAGACTTTTGTATACTATTGTAGACTTTATTTTAAAAGAAAATAAACCATAAGATGCAGCATGAAAAACTCTACCATTTACTCATTAAAGTTTGTTGTAATTGTTTTCAAAAAAACTAAATTTTTGTCCGCAGTCGAAATCTACTCACTCAAAACTTTGTCTGTTTTGAAAACGAAATATGCAACTATAAAATAAGTGGTCTTTTGTAGATTGTAGAGATTTTTACATTGCATCGTGTGGTATATTTAATTTTGAAATAAAACAGACTTGATGATGAAAATATAAGACACAGAACACAGCCATTCGTATTGCTATGAGATGTTCCAGTATTGTTTATGAAAAAAACTACATGAACATTTCTAAAGAAGTTTGTGAATATAGGTTTTGTAGAGTTTTTCAAGGCGTATCTTTTGAAAAAAAGAATTTAGATTGAATCATTTGTCCATACAAAAATATTTACAAAATAAACAATATTGCAATTATTTTGGGACACCCGACATCTTGATTAGTAAATGATATTTTTCAAATTTTCAACAAAGACGAATAGCCAGATCAAATCTAAATAGTGATTTCGGTAGATCTTGAAATTCTCTGTCGAATACGATATCGACTAAAACTTTAAAAAAACTCTGAAGAGAATCGCCTCGAAAAACGGTTTCATTGAAAATTCAAATTCTAGAAGACTGAAAAAAAACATTTACATAGAACCATCTGAAAGAGCGAAAAGTTCTTAATAAATTGCGAAGTTGCTCAAATCTCCATAATATTTCGTTGCAAAGTTCGAAGCATGAGAAAAATTGGTTAAAAACATGCTTTTTTCGAATTTTCCGATCTTCATAACTTTGCAACGAAATATTATGGAGATTTGGGCAACCGCACAATTTACTGAAAATGTTTTGCTCTTTCAGATGGTTTTATTTTAAAGTATGTTTTTCAATATCTATCGAAATCACAACTCAGATTTGATCTAGCTATTCATCTTTGTTGAATCGTGGATCTTCTAATTTTAGAATCTCTTATATTAAGAAGATTTCAATCAGTACTATCATTTAGATAAATAATATTTTTCAAGAAAAAACTTTAATCATCTAATTTAAATGATATTGGTGTCATTTTTAATTTCGTTCTATTATCTTCAATATCAATATGAACTATTTTCATATCCAAATGGAATAGTACTAATGAAAATTATTCTCTTTAACTTAATCCAGAATAGATTTGATGAATTTGATCATCCTATATACGTTTAAGTTTAACTATTTGTGCTTTGATTTTATTTATTTGAGCAAAAGTTTGTTTATGCATTTTGTTTATTGACATTAAATTAATTTATTTTCAAGATTACGTAGTCGTTTACGAATTCCACAGATGATTTCTAATTGATTGATTATCTAAAATAAATCAAGTCTAGTCATTGTTCGTTTCGGACAAAAAAATAATATCAACTCTTAAATGAAATAGATCCAATGTCAATCGAGTTTTTTTTTAATTTTATTATTGAAACACTTACGAACAACAACAAAAAACAAAAAGAAGTTGGAAGAATAACGATAATGCTATTAATGGTCATTGGCAACAACAACTCTTATTAATAATAAGAAACAACCTTTACAATACATTTATTTTTGTAGTTTCTTTTAAGCACAATGATCATTTATTCAAAAAATAATCATAAACTCGAGTACGATAATCAACTACAAAAATAATTTTAAAATTCTTTATTCTCCCTCTCTCTCTCTCTATATATATATATATATGTCAGGTCCTAAAGAGTGAGGGATGGCAGTAAGGAATGTACACCTGTCCAATAATTGAAAATGATTCATGAGTTGCTAGGAAATTGATAAAGTTTTGGACTACAAGAAAATACTTCCGTTAATATCTCCTAGAGAAATCTGTCCCATATCGTAAATACCGGACAGATTTTAGCGGTAAACTGCGGTATTCATCAAAACCGGCGGTTTACAGCAGTAAGTTTCGGTTATGGGAGCCGGTAACCGGTCCGGTAAAACCGCGGTAAACCGACGGTTTTTCCAAGTTTTTTATGACATAGGAAGGCACAAGAAAAAAACATTTAAAATAGCCAAACTGAGGGAGTGGGTGTGGGTGTTTATCGTCTCTTCACTTATACACACACCCACATCCACCCGCACCCACATCCACCCACACCCACACCCACCCACACCCCGCATTATTATATATTGCAAAAGAGAATATGAAGTCACACATCTATTCTACTCGAAAACAATGCACCGTGAAAGATTCAACTGGATGCATCCAATCAATTCGAAATTCGAGTTCTGCTATAGAACTATTGAACATTGTGATGAGTTTTGTTATTATTAAAGGATAAAATCAGAAAAAAAGAGCACTACAATCTATGTGAAACACGGCATTTTTATAATGATTTTCTTCTTTTAAAATAGGAAATTCTACAACGACTTTGCAAGAAATAAGCAATGATCATGAACACCAAGATTTGTTAAACGCTTCTTGTCATATTCAGCATAAATGATTTTATTATATTCCTGAAAACCCATTTTAATCACTTCTTTGGCTGAATATATACTTGTTGCTTCAGTATATGCTCCTTTAATACCGTATGATTTTGCCAGTTCCATACTTAAATCCATTAATTGTTTGCCCAAGTTAAAACCGCGATATTTATCATCTATTGATAGAAATAACATATGTAAGAGACGATCTGTTTTGAATGTTTTATATAAATCAATATGACCATGTGCACTGTTAACCAGTTCGAAAACATAGCGTACTTTTTCTGATTTAAATTGAGAAACGTCAAATGCCTTTATTTGATCGTTGACATTTTCAATAACATTCAATGAAACACCAACTAGTTTCTGCTGACTACGGTCAATAGCAATGTACGAACATTTATCTTGAAGTGCTTTTTCAATGGTCGGATTTGCTACTTCAGAGGGTTCGTTTGGTATATCCAATTGCACATAATTAAATAATGGTTCGTCACGGAAGAATGAATTAGTAAGAAGATCGTATACTCCGTTACGATGTTCCTTGCTCATTAGACGTAAATCAATCTGTGATCGAGAATCAATCCTATCAACATTGTTTCGATGTAACTATATAAGAAAAAAAGCATCACTGTTATCGATTTCTTCCAGTAAAAGTAAATTAAATATTTAATATATTCAAGTATCCCTTCATAATAATATCCGTTTCAAAGAAAGGCTATTTTCCTGTTTTGTAATCATTTTCGTTTAGTACACGATACAAATTTGTGATTTTCGCCATTCAAAAAAGCGGTATCTGGACAGCTATTCTGTGCAAGATCCGTTAGTATAAAGGCTGAACTAAATAGATTGACATTTTTTCCTTGTGTATTGTCATAAAATTTCAGCGGAATCTCATACATATCAAATCTGAATTTCAACATAAATTTATTAATATCTGAACTTTCTAGTTCCGATGTTCAGATATTTGGTGATCGGGCACTTAGTCGCAAGGCATTTTATTGCAAAAGTTCTTCATTGAGTTCAATTTCTCATATTCAAATATAACTGGCAGAAACTTCCTACTAATATGAATTTTACGACATAACAGTATGATACAGCATGAATCTTCATTACTGTACCAGGTCGACGACTACCAATGTATGCGTGAGACTGAGCACCTACAAGATCCAATGAGCATCCAGAGTAAAGCCATCGACACGTTAGAAGACCCCCCTATAATAGAGGACCCCCCATAATAGAAGACCCCCCTTGAATAAACGACGCAAAAGACAGATTAGAAGACCCCCCCTATGATCCTTGATGTTTTAGTTTTTTTTCCATGTTTATACTTTTGTTTCTAGATGAGTATTTCTGAGTTTCGCCTCAAAAGTATTTTTCTGCTCTTTGTACAGTTNAATTTGAAATCCGTCGATGAAATTAGGTGTAGCTTCCTGTGAAACTCTAAAAATCAGCATACTGCTAACAGCAAAAAAAATCCTAGGGGGGGGGGGCCCAGGAAAATGCTAATTTTTTTCGCAAACTCCGAGTGCAAATTTTTTTTGATAAAACTCCATCAGTTGGATCCAACATTACCTCCCATGGCTTTCATCTGGATCCCATGCTTGGAAGTTGAGGTTCAGCATACTGAAAAATCCTGGGTACGCCACTGCTCGGCAGTCTCTATAGGATACTGACTGTCAAAAAGTCAACAGACTTTCTGCTAAAATTTAGCCTTCTTCTCATCTTTCACACTTTCAAATGTGATACGAAACCATGAATTATGTATATTTCCCAAGAATTTTTGTGTCACTTTTTTTCAGAAAACTATGTATGAATAGCTGTAGTATAATCTAAAAAAAAAAACATGCGCTTTTAGAGATCATTCTGTTAGTCTGTGCGACTTATGTATATTTTGTTGAATATAACTTCTTATCATATTAGAAAGAGGATTTTATATTTCTTAATTTAATTCTCTTCATTAACTTCTTATTTATGTACCAGTGTAATACAAATAAAAGAAAGAAGTCTTTTATACCATCTTTCTGGTTTTTGAACTTGTAAACCATTATCGATATATTTTTGTCGTTGATCAAGTAAATACTATATTCAAATAATAATTAAATTTTAATCATTTAAATATTTGTCTTCTACTACTTGTCGATTAGGTACTAGTTGACTTTGTTTACTAATACAAGCACTAATTTGTGAATCAATTGGACGTGAATTAAAATATTCAGTTGCTTCAGCTTCTGATAACTTTTCAACATGACCATCAATACGAACCTATAAATGAAGAACAATAACAATCTCGATTAGGTATAAGATACTTAGGAAAGTTAATGTCTTGAATTTTATTCTGTACTCTTACTCCAGTCGATTGATTATGGGAAAGCTCAAGCAAAGTTCTTTGTCTATGCCATCAACTAATCGATATTAATTCTTCAATGCGAAAATCATACATTCGAATGAGTTTCTGCATTCAAATGCTTAGACTATTGATTAATACTGAAACTAGGTTGGGATGATGTCATCAGTCGAATGTGTTTGTGAATTTGCCAGAAAACAGCATATATACGGTCGCTCGATGGTTATTTCTTATTAGAGTAAATGATGTCGTTTAGCACTCAGCGATCTTTATAATGGAAAGGTAGAATATGATTTCCTTCCACATATCAATATGTTTAGTATAGTCACAAAATGAATGTCATTTCATGACATAACAAAGATTTTTTATACTTTTCGAATTTTCTTTAAGACTGTAACAATCAGAGAGAGGATTAAAAGAAAAAACAAATTTACTGATCGTGACATTGGTGACCAATAGAAACACATTGATGCAAATGGATTTTCTTCCTAAAAATGAACAAATTATAATTTTGAATAATAAAATTGACTAAACTTACTAATTCTTTTCCTTTTCGACTATCATAATTTGTATAAAATTTAAAACCAGTTTCATCAAAACCTTTCATTAATAAAAATCGACTCGAAGGTTTTCCATCTCTAATAACAATCAATTCAATGAATTTATATTTCAAAAATATAACTATAATTTACTTCGTAGCAGTAGCTAAACAAAATGAATTTGGTTCGTCAATATATTCAACAGCTTCTTCAAACCATTTTTTAAATTGACCCATTGGTTCATGTGATACAAGATGTTCAGTACCAAAATATTCATCTAATCTTTTATATGGTTTACGAATATCTATATGAATTAATAGAAAATAAATTGATATATATATATATATATCTTTTTTTTTTCTATATTATTTACTCGCAATATCAACGTTTGTATGAATATGTAATTGTGGCTCCATCCGTTGAAATAGTAAACGAACCAAGCGCATACAATCTAGAAAATTCCTATTGAGATTTGACTAAGCTTTTCGAACTTTGCATATCTAGAGAAGTTCTACATAAACAAAACATAGTTAATGCTTTCATGAAATAAAGGAATATTATTATCTTTAAAAATTTTTCATTCAATTGGACATGACCAAGTCAACATATAACTTATGAATAATAATAGATGTCGTTATTTTGTAAATAAAAATGAATTCGTTTTTTTCTTGTCGATTTCGAATTTGAATGAAGAAGTTTAATTGTATAGTTTTTTGAAAATTTTGAATTAAAGTCAATAAAAAAAGAAGAATTTTATTTTCAATTGGTTTAATTTTGACAAGCATGTGATCCAGTCATACGACAATTAATAATTGTCACTAAAGTAACGTTTTCTTTATTTTGACTATTAATCTTGTAGGATTTTAGTTTCACGTGCTCGCACGAAAAAAAAAAAATATTTTTTTTTTGTTCTTCTTATTCTTTATCCCATCTTGCAATAAACATGAGTATATCTACTTGATCGTGTTTGCATTGCTTTTCATAGACGAACTCTAACTTTCTAACTTCAATCTTTAATTGAAGGTCATAAAATGTATAAAGCCATCACGTCACTTTGGTCTAAGTCAACAACATCAAATAAAACTCAATTATCATCAGATGTACTCATTGATGAAGATAGTTGGGTATTTGTTTCGGATACAGGTAAATATATTTTCATATATATTTTTTTTTTCCTATAGTAAAATTTTATAGTCGTAGTACAACCATCAATAAAACATAATAATTTGATGATAAATAGTTGGATAGAACCAGTGTCTGTATATAAAACTGACGAATCATCAGTTCATGCACATCATTTTAATCCAATTGAGAATTTACTTATTGAACATGCGAGTATGATAAATGAAAGAAAATTATTAATTACTAACAATTACTTTTTATTGTTTTAGGTATGAGTGTTTATGAACAAATTGCTTCGAAAACACGAAATAGACGTCAAAGAAAACCTATTAATGATAATAAACTTGATGAACAAGCTGAGGAAGTGGAAGAACAAGATGATGATGATGACGATGATAGAACATCAATGAATCATCATGTGAGATATAGAAAAATATTGTTATCAAAAAGAAAAATAATAAAAATTTTCATGACTAATAATATTTTAGAAGAATAAAAAAACAAAATATTTTGTTTTAATGTTTAGCATCTAAATTTAACTTCAATTCATAACCGAAATATGAATATTTCGACAAATTCTTTCGTAACAACTCTTGAATCATCAACATTATCATTGACTGCTCATCATCGTCATTTACAACGGTTACATCAACGACGTAAACGAACAAATAAATCATCATCAAAATTAATTTTACCAAATACAATTGATGAACCAAAACAAGAATTCAATGAAAATATTGATTTAAATCATAAACATAAAATTCATCTTCAACAATCTTCTTATTCAAAATAATTGACAAAAGAAATTTTAGTCTTTTTTTTATTGTTCAATATCATTCCACTCTACACATATTTTTTATTATATGTGTCGGTATAATTCTTTTCGATACCAGTGTATCTCTGTAAATACGAATTGTATTTTCTTTTTTATTCTTTTATTAGTATATTATTTTTAGTTTTTTGTATATATACCAATAAAAGACACCGTGATTTTATAGTTTGTTTTCATTTTTTGTTGTTGTCTGTCGATATTTTTTTAGTATTTGTATACGATCTGAGCTCTAAAACCGTTACATGTACCTTTTCTTTTTCTACTGCTACCTATCTACATAAGGTTTCTTTTCCTTTTTTTTTTTTTTTCTTTTTTTGATTACGATTCTGTATACGTGTACATGCATTATATTGTGAGAAAAAGAAAAAGAATGGTAAATATAAAGAAAGAGTTTAAGTGCGAGCAAAAAAAAAAAATCTAAAAGAAATATGATGACGGCCTTTTTTTCTGTTACAGAAACAACAAGCCAATAGTTGAATTTTAGATTGTTAAGAAATAAACCTTGTCAATAATAATAATGTATTTATATCCATGTCAAAACAAATAATTCATGGAAATCAATAAAATACATCAACATCAAGGTTATTAAGCTCATTGTAAAATCATGTCGACAAATGAATAAATATATTTAGGTTCTGATTCATCGACATCTTTATCAAATACAATAGACAATAATATTGACACAAATAATATGGGTCTTCATGAACATGAACGATCTGTACATCATACTACTTTCTCTCGACGATTTTTTAATTTCTCATCATCATCAGCTCTCATACCAACTCGATTTATTGGATTGTGTTTTTTAGTTTTTATTTATTATATAGCTTATGGTTATTTACAAGTTTGTTTTTTTTTATTTAAAAAATAAAAATTTTTACTATGTTATCATCTATTTAGGAACTTATGTTTACATTAGATGGTTTTGAAAATACTGCTTGGTTTTTAACTTGCTATCAATTTTTGGTTTATTCCGTTCTTTCATTTGTTCATTTGGGTATAACTGGTCTTGAACAAAGACGGTATTTCAAATTTCTTTCTTTTTTGTAAAACACGATCTAAAAGGAGTACTGAAACATATAGAATAGAACTTTGCGCCTTTCTTTTCATAAATCATGATAGAAATCACCATGGCAACGTCATAGATCATGACAAACATCCCTAGAAACATATGTGCTTCATCAAAAACGGTATATTGTTATGGTATTTCTGGAAGATTTAATTACAAGGATGTTATTCCAAAATAGATACAATAAAAAAAAGAGATTATATTGTGTTAAAAACGTTTTTTTTTAAAACCATTTCTAGGACAAGTTATGCTTCTTATATTCTTCTTGCTTCACTTACTGTAACAACAATGGGTTTATCAAATTATGCAGTTGCTTATTTAAACTATCCGTAAGAATTGAATTAAAATTATTTTTGATTGAAAAAAGAGATATTTTAAATAGTACACAAGTTATGTTTAAATGCTGTAAACTTATACCAGTTCTTATCGGTGGAATTATTATACAAAGTAAAAAAAAAGAAAAAGAACTTGTAAATCTTTCTGAAGTTGAATTTTATTTATTTATTAGGAAAAACTTTCAATCGTTATGATGTAGCTGCTGCTTTTTGTATGTCAATTGGATTGGTATTTTTTACATTAGCTGATTCAAAAGTTCAACCAAATTTTAATTTATATGGTAAATTAAATAAATAACAGAAAAAAAAAATTGAATTCGTTTTTTTTTCTGCTTCTTAGGTGTAATAATTATTTGTTTTGCACTTGTTGCTGATGCAGCTATTGGTAATTATCAAGAAAAAATTATGAAAGAACATCATGTACCAAATGTTGAAATCGTTTTTTACAGTTTTATATTTGGTTTTGGATTTGTTTTATTTGGTTTATTAATAACAAATAATTTTTTTTCAAGTCTACATTTTTGGAATATGGTTTGAATAATGTTTTTTCTTTTTTCTTTCTTCTTAAAATATTAATATGAAGAATTTTATTATTTCTTTTTTTTAGCATCCAGTACCAACTTATGGTTATGGTTTAATGTTTTCAATATTTGGTTATTTAGGCATTGATATTGTTCTTACTTTAATTAAAGAATACGGTGCATTAATCTGTGTTACTGTGACAACATGTCGAAAAGCGATAACAATTATTTTATCATTTATACTTTTTTCAAAACCATTTGTTTTTGAGTATGTTAACAATTTAAAATTTATTTCTTTTTTTTTTCTCTACTTTTGATGATATAAGATGGTTATTAAAATTACCGGGATGTGAATGCGAGATAAAAAATAGCTCGCTTCTCTACACATTTCTATTGCTGACATGGAACTATGCGATTAATGCTTGTTGAAGACTTTAGACAATTTTAGGAAATCATCTCAATCCGATGCTTTAGTTACTCTTAATAATTTCTATGAATGAATAAAAATTGACACAACAGGGAGTAAACGGTTAAATCAATATTATTGTAAAATGATTTTTTTTTTCGGAAGAATTTATTTAACTAAACGATAGAAGAGAATAATAATTTTTTAAAATCATAATAATTAAATGAAATTATTCAAGCATGCAAGGTTGTAAATACAGATATAAAAATAGGGCGTTCTTTTTTTCTTTGTCCTTTATATCTGTGACGGTAACCTTGTACATTTAATATTCATTTTCTTAATGATATAAAGTGCAGAACATAATGTCTGTTGAGACTAGAAAAAATCTAGAATAATTCTTCTCTCTGCATTACTATTTTGGAGTTAAGTCGTTAGACGGTATTTAAAAAACAAACAAAAAATCAGCGAACGAATTTCAGCTAAAAGAAATATTCTCTCCGCAAGATATCAAATATACAAAAAAAAAGAAAAATTTTTTTATATGCCGTGACAAAAATAAAACTTCCAGTATATTTGTCATAACTCCAAAAGGGCAGCATACGGAAGAGAAACCTAATCTTAACAAGCCCTATGTAATAATTGGAGTCTTATTATCAACGTTTATTTTAAATGACATAAACATCCATGCATATATTCAATTTTTTCTTTTTTAGTTATGTTTGGTCCGGTGTAATTGTAATTATTGGTATTTATCTCAATGTTTACAGTCGACATCAAACAGCATTTAATAGTATAATAGCATCATTTATTACTAGATGTTTCAATTCTCGTTGGTGGCCAAATATTTTAACACCAACAACAATGAAAACATTACCTGTTTAGTTAAAGAATCTCAATTTCTTTCTTATTACCAAAAATACATACCAATCTAGGAATTTTATTTTTTCTTCTAATATTTATTAAGAAGAATACAATAATAAAGTAATAAATTATTATTAATTTAAATTTTTGTTTATAGATGAAATTTCATGATGATAAATATTCATACATTGTCATCACCAATTTATTTATTTGGTGTAAATTTATCTGATTATAGTCGAGTAGTACAATTTTTATTAACATCAACAGCTGTACTTATTTTTCATGTTCTACAAGGATATATTCAGGTTTTAAGAAATTAATAATAAATATTGAATAAAAAAAAAGAAATATTTTATCGAATAGGAATTAATTTTACAATTAAAATCATTACGACTTTATCCAAATTATTTTACACTCGTTTATTTTATATGTTTTACATTTTTGGCATATACAGAACGATTTTTATTTGAACGAACAATAAAAAGACGAAAGTGAGACAATTCAAGTCATAATTAGCTATTTTTTCTATGGATCAAAGGAAGAATATCCTTGCCTTTCAGCTAGACACAAAGTTTTTGGACTCAATTGCTTGAGCTCCTCGTACATAATAACTAGTCACAAGAGTAGCATACTATTGAATGTGTAATCCAAGACAAATAGCTGTTAAGGCCTTGTGAATACGTGTTGAATAAGGTAGTTACTTACAAGAAAGCCTCTCTAGATATCAAATCACTTTTCAATTGAGACGATGTTCATTTGATGAATACTCGACAGTAATATGAAAAGTCAAGTTTCGACTTCAATCTTTACATGAACAAAGTTCTTAATGAGATTAGTTGATTAGACAAGGTGTAATTTGTCTATTAGCTTCTATCCTGAGATATTCGAAATTCTCTTATGTGTAAAGGCAAATTTTACTCATATATATTTACATCTCTAGAAAGGAAGTAACTACTAATTACACAATTAACTAATCTCATTGAGAACTTTGTTCATGGAAAGTTTGAAGTTGAAAGTCGATTTTTCATATGACCTGAGGGAGAACATAGCTTTTTTGTTGAAAAAGAAAATATGAAGGCCCGGAAAATCAAACAAAGGTCATCGTAACTGACAAGGAATTTGACACCTGAAAGATTTCACTCATCAGCCATGACAGCTGTATGGATTGAACATTGTTGTTATTTCTTTGTTTTCTTTTGTATATAGAGCACCTATTCAAACTTATGCTTTAATTGCATTGTTTACTCTTGGTACAATGGGTTTAAGTAATGCAGCTGTGATGCGTCTTAATTATCCAACTCATATGATGTTTAAAAGTTGTAAATTAATTCCAGTTATGATTGGTAGTATGCTGATATTAGGTAAAGATGAATTTCACTATTCTTGACGGATGCTTCAAAATTTTTGTATTAATTTTATTTTCAGTATAATGTGAGAATAACTCATTGTGAAGTAGAAATTTTACTCTTTCTAATAAGAAAACTAAAGAATCTTTGAGATGAATTGTTGTCCTATTATACTGAAAATAAAACTAATGCAGAACTTTTTGTACCATTTGTTATTTTATGAACAATTTTTTTTTTGTTATCTATAGGAAAACGTTATAATCTGTATGATGTATTTGCTTGTTTATGTATGACTGTTGGTCTTATCTTTTTTACATTAGCCGATTCACAAGTTCAACCGGAATTTGATCTATTAGGTAGAAAACAAAAACGAAATCATTGAAAATAGTTTTTAATTTTATATGATTATATATAGGTGTATGGCTTGTATGTTGTGCTTTAGTTGCTGATGCTGTTATTGGTAATGTACAAGAAAAAGCATTGAAAGAATATAAACCAAGTAATTCAGAAATGGTATGAAGCTAAAAGTTTATCATCAAAAAAAAAAGTTATTAAAAACTAAATATGTTCATTATGAAATAGTTGATAATTAGTTTTTTTCTTTTGTTAACTATCGAAGAGATTATCTTAGATTCTATGAGAAAAAAAGGCTCAAAAACTTCTTCTAGGGATGCAACAATAATTCATCATCACTGTTGCATTCCTTCCAATAATCGATAAAAAATTCTGACTAAACAAGACTAATAACTATTTGCTAGTAACACATTTGCTTTTACAGAGATTTTCATAAAAATTTCGAATTCATGAAATGTAATCGAAATTAAATAGTACTATTTCCTATGAATACTAACTTGGTCTTTCCTATGCTTTTGGAAGAATAACGATTCTAAAATTCAATAATAAAAAATCAAGCGGTGATCATTTTTCTTTTTGTTTATTTTATATAATCATATGATTAAAAATGCAGCAATGGAATTTACCATGAAGTTGATGAGTAATATGAAGAAACTACGATGGCAACTGACATCATAGCACTGCTATCTTCTTTTAGTATTAAGATGTCTGATTAACGGGAAAAGAAGTCATTATCACCATAGGGTTTTTCATGCATGTTCAGCAGCAATACTCTCAAGTGCAGTACTATACGGTAGCACATCTGAACTGATGTACCGATGGTGCAGTAACACCGTTGTGTCGATAGATTCTTTCAAATCTAATAATTCAATATGTAAATAGTAAGTATGAATGACAACAGTCTACTTCGACTTTCATTACTAGTAGTAAATTTTGAATAAATTTCTTCAAAATTTAATAAAATGTGTTTCTAAAAATTTTAAATGATTCATTTAGATATTATTTTCGTATTCAATTGGTGCTGTTTATTTACTTATATACGATGTAATATTTGGTTCATTGAAAGAAGCTTTTTGGCTTTGGTGGACTGTATGTTAAACTTATTATTAGCAAAAACAAAAAAAAAATCTAATTTAATTTTCTTTATTTTTATAGTATCCGATAAGATCTTATGTTTTTACTATGATGTATTCATTTGCGGGTTATCTCGGTGTAAATTGTGTACTTAATCTAGTACGGCATTTTGGTGCGCTAATAGCTGTAACCGGTTTGTTATTTTACCAAAATAAAAGTAAATATTATTTTGTAAAAGTATAATTTTTTTATTTTTAGTTACAACATTTCGCAAGACAATAACGATTATACTCTCATTTATTGCTTTTACTAAACCATTTACTTTTCAGTAAGATATTTTAATTATTTTCCTTATATATATATATAATAAAAAGAATATTTATTTAGATATTTATGGTCTGGTGTTATTGTAGCATTTGGAATATATTTAAATGCCCATGGACAAAATCAAAAATCAATTGAAAATTATACACGGTTAATGTGTAATAGTTTATTAATGAAATTTCGAAGAAAGAAGGATAATTATCGACAGCCTACTGAAGAAGTTTAATTTAATTTATTTAATTTTTTTTTTTTTTTTGAATGATACTTTAATTGTTATGCACTAATAAATATATATATATATATTCGATTTAGAATTATTAGGAATATAAATGATATTAAAGTTTTCAACGTATTTTTCAGCTCCTTAAACTACATAGTACTTTCGAGTATAAGAAACCTTTGTTCTATTACTAAAATATTTATTTATAAAAACAAGATTTTTCTAGAAGTTCTGTTTATTTACGCATATAGACTTTAGATCCATTTACTGTTAAGTAATAGTGTCCACCTCGTATACCTTCATAAATAGGTAGACCACTTGTACTGCCTTTACTAGCAAAAAACTTCTTCAGTAAGACGTCCCTGAGACTTATTTAGTATTGACAAGATTTTTTTTAGAATCATTATCTAATTCTTCACTTTCTATGTTTTCATTTTCATTAAAATAAGATGAATCATTCGGAATGGGTATATCGATAGATATTTGGTCAAAATGTTCATCAATCGATGTATTTTTATTACGTCCAGTTTCGAAATGATTTAGAATATCGACAAATCATGGACGATTAGGTTTTGACCAAGCACAACATTGAATAAGTAGTTTACAAATATGAGATGGACCGAATTCATTAGCACAAATTCGTGCAAAGACAGATACATTTTCTTTACGTTGAAGGGCTCGAAAAAGTATGGCATCATCATTAAATTGATCGATCCAACGTTCACGACCAGTTGTAGTTTCAAGAATAATGCAACCATAACTCTACACATCCGATTCAAATGATGATGGTAGAGTACATATTTCAGGTGCCATTCATCGAATTGTTCCTGCAAATGAATTTTAATATGAGAGATAGAGAAAGTGCAAAACAATAATAAAAACAAATTAGCTTTTGCAGTTTGATTTCGTTTTTTTATGCCAATATCATTCTCAAGTGATCTTGAAATGTCAAAATTACAGGTTACATCTAGATGATTTTCATTTCGTAATAAAATATTATGACTTTTTAAATCACCTTGAACAATATTACGATCATTTAGATAGATCATTCCTCGAGCAACATCAATTAAAATCTGATCTATGATTGTCCAAATGTGAAAATGAATTAAATTTTGTTCAAAATAAATTCATAAAGACTTCCACCAGTAATATATTTCATTGTGAGATAAGCATTTCCTTGTTCATATTCGAAATCAAAATATTTAATAATATTTTGATGATTAAAATTTGTGACAAGTTTCATTTCAGTTTCATCACAACAAGCATAATGATTTGAAAATACTTTAATAGCAACAGATTTACCATACTATAATCCAGAATACACAGTACCTTCAGGTCCATAACTGAGTATTGGTTCTAATTGATATCGTTTCGCCATCTTGTTTTTGTAATAATAACAGTGAAATTATTTAGATGCTATTTTAGACTAATTATGCAAACTTCTGTTCTACTGGAAAAATACCCAGTGACTGTATTGATTTTTTACTATTTTGTTTGCATCAGGTTACCAGATGGTAGAAGAGTTGTACAGTAATGAAAAGAACTAATAATACATTTTTTTTCAGGAAAAAGTTCACTAGGCAACTCATTACTACATTCACGAAGTGTATTTTATTCTATACAATAACCTAACTCGATAACGAAAAATTGTGAAGCTAAAACGGTTAGTACTACTGATATTAATGGAAAACAAAAAGGATTAATTGTTGTTGATACACCAGGCTTTTCTAATACAGATGACGCCATGAAAAAATGAACAAGTACAGAGGACAGGGTGTCGAGTAAGTTACTCTATTAAAATCAAGAGTTTAAGTTTCTATAACAGACTATATGTATTTAGAGCAGAAATGAAGAAAGACAACGGTCAGCAGCTAACTCTCGAAGATATTATGACGATGATTTTGAATCTATGTTTGGTGGAATGCGTCAAATGATGTTGGGCAGCAATATGCCTTTGTCGAACATCTCAGCTATCTGTATGCCTTATCAAATGGCAACGCCTAATAGCTCTACAAGCCGTGGAGGTAGATTCACAGGCGAGTTTATGGCAACTCGTGGTAGTGCGAACAATCGACCTATTATGGAAGGATCCAAAGGTGGACGTTACTATGTGAATGCAAATGGTAACAAGACTTATTTAGGAAATTAATATTTCCTATTAATGAAGACAAATTATGTGAATAGGATAATGAACTATCTATATGATATGAAATCTATAAAATCTTTCAACTTGATTATTACATATTTAAGCATTTTATTACTTGATTTTTTTTTAAAATTCTCTCAATCATTTGTTGCCTCAAAATGAGAAATCATAATAAACATTCGAGCAAACATTGGTGATACATTACTATAACAGAATGATTTATTGATTGTTCGAAAGAGACTTACTGAGCTGATTAATGACTAGAGTTTGTCAATCAATATACAAACTTAATATATATCTTACTTATATATCCATTTTGATGGAAAACTATAGAAGCATAATTCCGAAAAAGTGCATTTGTTTTCTTCACAATTTAAGGTCTTCGAGAGCAGTCATTCATAATTGTCTAATATTAAAATAATTTTGAATTACATGATTATTTTGTACATTGTATTCCTTTGTCAATTAGAACATACGAGGTAATCTTTCTAGATATCAAATCACTTTTCTACTGAAACAATGTTCATTTGATGAATAATAGAAAAGTTTTTGAATGCTTTGATTTTCCGGATCTCCTTTCTTGACATATCGAAATTTTACGGAGCTTTTCGTTTCACTCTGATCAAGTGAAAAATCGACTTTCAACTTCAAAATTAGTTCATTCTGCAGTATTCTCTTTCTAAAAATGTACAATATATGAACAAAATTTCCTTTTACATATGAGCGAGTTTTTCGAATATTGTATATTTCAGGATAGGATACACTAGAATAGCTACAATTGGCCTGATGAACTAATCTCATTGAGAACTTTGTTTGTGCAAAATTTAAAGTCGAAAATCGATTTTACATGTGACCTAAATGAAATGAAACCCCTCAGTAAAATTTCGATATCTCAAGAACAAAGGCCTGAAAACACCAAACCAGTACTCATCAAAACAACATTGTCTCTGTCGAAAAGCAATTTGACTCCACAAAAATATATGCGACATTTTATTGAGCTTCAATACTCACTATAAAATTCACAATTTTTAGTTTCTTTCACCTCGGCAATATTAATACTGTAATATTCATTATTACTCTTATCGACAATTATAATATTGCAAACATATATTTATGAGGAATGTGTTCAATTATGTCAAGAACTTTTGTCACGCTATTCAACTGAAGAAAATAATTTCATTTTTCGAATTATAACTGGTGATGAATTGTGTATTCATTATTATGAACCTGAATGAAAACAATCATCACGATATTGGATTGAACTCGACAGACTCTAACCAAAGTTCATTACTACATCGGTGTTTGAATCATCTATCTGAAAATCAGTTCACGGCAACTATACAAATGCTTTTAGAGCATTGACAAACTTATATTGCGACAGAAGGATGATGTCTCTAAAAAGAAAACATATATTTATAATTATAAATCACTTCTATTATGTATGAGTTTTGAGCAATATTGATGATCCAATGAGTCTATAAGAAGTTACTGACACATTTTATTAGATGAAAACAAAATAACGTCCTTCACTTAAGATAACATATTATCAGAGACCAGGCAAATATGTGTTAAATATTTCATAGCTAGGTAACCTATTAACTGAATGTTAAAAAAAGCTAAGTCAGAATGAACAATAGCAGAGTAAAAAGAACAAATAGATATGATACAGATAAGAATAGAAGATAAAGAACTATCTCATCACTGTGCTCTACTTTCATTATGGGCTTATGGTCACAAAACTACGTCAGAGTGCAAAAAAACAAATTTTTATTGTCACAGGTACGCAAACATCCTCTATCTTTGCTTGATCATACGTTCTGATGCAGCTTTTTTTTCTGTTTTTTTAGTACTATATATAAAATCTTTCAACTCAAATGAATATTTAGAAAAATGTATCTTCAAGTAAGTTATTATTCATTTGTTAAAAATATAATACAATAACAATCTTCTACTTATATATGTATGTATTTTAGCTGATCATTTATTTTCTATTCTTCATTACTATTACGAGTAGTTCATCAATCGATTGGGAAACATTTAAACATAATTATAATAAACAATATGCATCAGTAACAGAAGAAGCTGAACGTAAACAAATCTTTATAGAAAAGATTAATCGACTACAAGAATAGGAAAAAACTCATCAACATGAAACATTTAAAGCTGGAATTAATCATTTAATGGATCGACGTATTGAAGTAAGACAACATTGATTTAAGATATAAAACAAAATAAAAAAAAAAAGCATAAAAAATTATATTCTAGGAATTAGTATCTGGTTCAAAATCATTTTTTAATATACCTTCAATAGAAATTGAAAAAACGATTTCATCAAAAAAAACAATACCTACTTCATTAGATTGGCGTGATAAAGGTGTGATTACACCTGTATATAATCAAGGCACATCACCAAAATATTCTACAGTTGTTGCTGTCGGTGAGTATGTTTAATTATTTTATGCATATATAAATTTTTTTTTTTTTTCAGAAGCTATCGAAAGTTTTCAAGCTATTCGGGGTGGAAAACTTGAAAAAGGTAGCATCGATCAAGTTAGTGATTGTTGTGAAAATACTATTGATATTCTTGATTGTATATTAAATAAAATGGGTGGTAGCTTATGTAGAGAAAGTGATTACAAATCATCAAATATTACATGTGATCGAAATGCTTGTCAACCATTTGCTGTCGTAAGAGAAAACATTTTAAAAAAAAATATATGTTTACTTTTTTATATGAATTAATAAATTATTTTAGTTTAATAATTTAAAAGTACTCAAAGTAGCTAATGAATATACAATGTTAGAATGGATTCAAGATTCTCCACTTTATGTTGGTGTTAATGCAGCTGACTTTGGTTTTGAAATATATAAATCTGGTATGACATTTCATTCGATAACATCATTATGAGTATGAATTTTTAATGTTTAAGGCGTATATAGCAATCCGGAATGTGCGAATGGAACTGTTGATCATGTGGTAAAATATTGAAGTTAATGAGTTTAATTCAACCATGAAATATAAATCTTTTGTAGCTTCAAATTGTCGGTTATGGTATTGAATCAGGTACACCATACTGGTTATGCAAAAATAGTTGGAGTAAGAATGTTATTAAATTTTAATAGATTCTATGTATCATAATTATCTTTAGGTTCAGCATGGGGTGATCAAGGATACATTCGTCTTGAACGTGGTAAAAATACATGCCGTATTGCTGATTATGTAGCACAAGTTGAATATAGAACAAATGATGCTGTACGATCATTCACTATTCATTATATGTATTTGACAATTTTCTCTTTTATTTTATATATTTTTTCATATTAAAAATAAAGATATCACAACAAGATTTTCTCTTTCGGATGGGTCAATAGGATGTTTGAAATGGCGTTGCCCTTCAATCCTCACGCTCGATAAAACATTTTGTCGAATATTGACGTTTCTTCCTTTTATTAAACAAGAAGAAGCTGTTAGCGTAATTCCTGCAGGATTAAAATGTGAAACGCGATGTCGCTGTTATTACTAATCATAGGAATATTGTTTTATTCTATCTACCGTGGAACATATTTCTTCATGATCCTTGTATTTAATCGTTTAGAAATTCAGTAAGACAATAGTTAATATATTATAACTAGCAAGAAACTATAGGTTCTGATTCCGAAAAACATGGACCCTCACCTCTCAACTTAGTTGATCTCGTTTACCTAAATATAACTGAGACTATTTCATACAGATAAAGATTTTTTATATTACTGATGATTTGACGATCTCCAATGAAGAATTTTGTTTATCAATTAACTATTCTATTCTCTTTTTTATTAATATTATGTGCTTTTCAACTAAGTGAAAATTATTTTTAAGTTATTAAACGTTGATAGATTGAAAAGTGAACAATACGGTAAAACTGTACGTTGACTTTTTTCTTGAGAATATCCAATCATCAATAGCTAAAACCTTCACTTGTTCATTTACACAGAAAGTGTCAGATATTGATGAAAAAACTCTGGTCCGGATCTGATCGGACTCACAAAAACATGGTCCTGTAGTTCTCTAAAAGCAAGACGTTACTGATATACGGTCTTTAATAGCTTATCAACAACATCTGTCAAGGTCCTTAGATGGGTCGAAATTTTTACTTTGATTGTTATATTTTTTGAAGGACAAAATAATGAACAATAATGTGTTAATGAAAATAATCCTTCCAATAAATACGAACTATGTTTAACCTATATTTTTTTTTGTTAACTACTAGATTGTTCGAAAGTCTTCATATTTTGAACTTAAAAAACTTGTTTTAGTTTTCCAATATTAAATAATTAGGATGAGGACAAGTTGATAAACACCTCTTTTTAAATAATTGTTTTCTTTTTCTTGATTTTGAGAAAAATTACAATTCCTACAAAATCGGATGTCGTCTTGACATTTGTTTGACTTCTTAAGAGAAGATAATTCTATCATTAAAACAATAATTCTTTTCATTCGTAAAAAGTCCTTGACTGTAATTTAACATGCAAATGAATAGAAATGTTAAGATATATTAACTTATTAGTCTTTATTTTGATGTCAATTGCATTCAGTAGAGAAATGAATATCTATTACATTTGTGATAGATGAAAAATATATTATTCTGAAAAATGTTTGATTATCTATTAAGTCAAAAGAAATTGTCAAATTTAAGCAACTAATACTGATTAATATTTTCAGACTAAAATTTTTTTCAAAAATCTAAAGATTAGATTTAAATAAACTTTTCATAGTTTTATTTGTTTTGATTAGATAACATACAAATAATAAGTTTTACATAATTAGCTCTAATGACTATTGTTAAAAAATTATTAATAGAATTTAATATGTTCAATAGTCTTAACAGATTACATTTAGTATAAGATTTGATAAATTTTCTTAAACTTATTTGTATTCAAATGAATCATATATATATATACATTTGACATCATAGAATACAAATATTTGATTATTGATCTATGATTAAAAGAAAATTTTTTAAGCAATAAATATACTCATTCACATTCTTTCATAAAATTCAACATATAATTGAATAAATACTAAATTAAATGCATCTGTTCAAGTACATCTTTGCATAAGAGAGAGTCATTTAGAACATGGTTATTTTTCTATTGAGCTCAAATATTAAGACAAATCTTTATATATATATATATATGTCGTGCCGAAGTTACACTCTTTGCCGAAGTTGTAACTTCGGCAAAAGTTTTGTCGAAAATACCAATTGGTCGGATATTTTTGT